CCCTCTTCCCACAACACAAGAGAAGAGTCTACACATGGATACCACCAGATGGGCAACACTAAAATCAAATTGATTATATTCTTTGCAACCAAAGATGGAAAAGCTCTATACAGTCAGCAGAAACAAGACTGGGAACGGACTGTGGCTCAGATCATGAACTCCTTATTGCCAAATTCTGACTTAAATTGAAGAAAGTGGGGAAAACCACTAGACCATTCAAGTATGACCTAAATCAAATCCCTTATGAATATACAGTGGAAGTTAGAAATAGAATTAAGGGACTCGGTCTGATAGACAGAGTGCCTGATGAACTATGAATGGAGGTTTGTGACATTGTACAGGAGACAGAAATCAAGACTATCCCCATGGAATAGAAATGCAAAAAGTAAAACTGTTTGTCTGAGGAGGCCTTACAAATAGCTGTGAAAAGAAGAGAAACAAAAAGCAAAGGAGAAAGGGAAAGATATTCTCATTTGAATGCAGAGTTCCAAAGAATAGCAAGGAGAGATAAGAAAGCCTTCCTCAGCAATCAATGCAAAGAAATAGAGGAAGACTGCAGATTGTTACCATGTATTTATTTCTGTGATCACTTCTTTAATATTCCTAGGAAGTCCTAAGAATAGGGGGCTTCCCAGGTGGCTCAGTGGTAAAAATCCACTTGCTAATGCAGGAGATGAAGGTTCGATCCCTGGGTCAGGAAGATCCCCTAGAGAAGGAAATGGAATCCACTCCAGTATTCTTGCCTGGGAAATCCCATGACAGAGGATCCTGGCAGGTTACAGTCCATGGGGTCACAAAGAGTTGGACACACTTAGCGACCAACAACAATCCCAGGAAGGCAGGGCAGGGACAATCTGGTTTGCTCATCACAGGTCATAGCACCTGGCCTAGCATGTGATAAAGTCGCTATCTTTGGAGGCCAACAGTCATTGGCCAGGTGCATTTTTTCTTGGGCAGCTTTGACACTAGTAGCTGGTGTCCACAGTAATTGTTAAACCTCAGATTAGTTAAACCCCAGTGGGAACGTTTTAAGGAATCATTAACTTGTAGTAAACATTTTGCCCACCAGAGGTCCCTTTCTCCCCATCACTGGAGCCAAAGAGCTTGAACTCCTTGTGTATCTTCATGGTTTTCTTAGCCATGCTGCTCATTGAAGACTGGTATACCACCACCTTTGCATTGCCCAGGGGCTTGTCAGTAATGCAGAATCTCAGGCCCCACCCACACTGGAGGGATCAGAATCTGCATTTTAACAAGATTCTCAAGTGATCTGTGTACACATGCAATACTGCGAAGTACAGTTCTACAGAACATTCATAATCTGAGAAGCTTGGAAGACAAAACCCCATCTAAATGGCCTTTCCACCAGACTTAAAACAAGGAAAGAGGTTTAGAATCTGCTTTTATTATGAATATAAAATATACATACAACATAATATACATTTACACATTTACAATTTGCAGTTAGTTTCACTTTTTTGAGCACATTTGGTTCTGCACGGCCCAGTGGCCCATGTTCCTTCCACTTACACTCAAGACATTCTCTTCACCTTGGTACATACTTGGTAAGAAATACCAGGCCCAGGCGTCAAATGGCCAGCTTTACTGTCTTCACAGAATCACTTTCATCTTGTTTCCCCTTCTGCCCCTACAGGCTTTCCATGGCCTCAAACTTCAGCATTAAAAATGCAGGAGGAAAGAGGGCTGCAGTAATCCCCTTTGTCTTTCAAAATCACCTTGAAACATCTCACCTGAGCGAGGTGATACATCATAGGCATTGCTGGTTAATATGGTTTAAGAACTACCTACGGGGAGGCTCTGACGTGTCACATACAAACTAAGAGGATCTGAGTATTGGTGGTATCGCAGTAAATAAATAAATAAGTTAACTGGAATAAATACAAATAAATAGAGTGAGTTTCACTAAGGAAAATGTCAATGCCTACGTCCCTGTGCTCCAAACCTCATTAGGTGCCGCTTTACAACAGGTTGATAAACAGAAGCTGGATTTCTCTATGAGTCGCTCTTTGGGGCAACGCCTTCCATGTGCTGGTAAAGAGCAGCCAATGGAATCGTTCGTCATCACTTTTCTCAGAATGTTGCTATGCGAGAGGCTTTGTAGGAGTTCTCTTTGAGGCTGTCAAATATTGCTTTGGTTCCATTCTGCCAGTGTAGCACCAGATCCATCGGAGTCTTCCCAGCCTAATCAAAACAGAGGAGGGACTTTGACTTCCAGGTTGAAGACATCTATAAGTTCGTCTCCTCTGTGTGTGTGTATTTAATGAGGTAATGGATAGTGTATGTTACTGAGGTGTTTTATGTTTCCCACTATGATTTGCAGTTTATATTCAAACCAGTCCTTTACTGTTTCTCACAGGAATGCTTTTGGCATTTCAAATTAGCAGATCAACAGTGTTTGTTTTTTTTGCCCCCCTGTGGGACTATCCCAAGTGTTGGTAAAAAATCCCTAGTCCCTTGACACTAAATAGCAAGCCTAAGCCAGATCATTCTGAAATTCAAAAGATGCCTCTGTCCTTCTACAGTGTACTGCAGAATGGGCATGGAGAGGTAGCAGTATCCACATGGTCAGAAACCAGTTCCTATCAGTTTGGAAAATGATTCCTGACTGATAAAAACTGGTGGGATATGAGCTGCTGCAACACCTTGGCTTAATTACACAGGTACCGCTCCAGGGAATAGATCTTTCACAGCTGTTCAGAAGTTACAATGGGCTCTCCCAGGAAATTTATTTTTCTTAGAGATGATATCAATGATTTTTGAGACCAAAAGTTTTTTACTTTATGTCTCGATATTTACAAAAGTTAAAATTATGTCACCTCTCAATTCTTGCCTTTCAGTTTGAGAAGTCCTAAAATTTTCCATCTCTATCTATTCAGAAGTCTCTCTTTATCCCAGAGATTGCAAACTGGCAGCTTTGAGATGCAAATCAGTCTAGAGACCTGTTTTGGCCCAACCAAAGCTTAGATTTTTTAAAAATTGGAATTAATTGGCAACAGTTGGAAATTAAGAGATTTCCCAATTGAATCTGTGATCTCTCTGAAAAAAACTGGAAGGCTTGGCAGCACGATATCCATGGTTTCATGGAGCAAGAAAGGACTGGGTTAGGGAAGGACCGCTACCTTCTGTGCACAGAGCCTGCAGCCACCGTAAAGTCATTTATGTGGTCTGCCTGGGCCCTAGGCGGATTTGAGTTGGTGTCCCTACAACCTTAATTTTGGACCTTCTCACCCTATAGCATGTGCCGTGAGGAACACTTATCAGCAGACGTGAAGACAGAGTTTGGGACAATGATACAATAATGATACAGTAGTGTATTGTTTACAATTCCCTTCAAGATGGTGTCCAGTAATTTAGTAGTCTTTTTTGGAAATATCCATCCATCGGGTCAATGACATTTATAGTTCTAGAACCTTTATGCTGGGGTTTTACTGAAAATGCACAGCTCTGAGGCCTATTTATATATTTAGGGCTATTTTTCCATGAATTCCTTAAACTCCTTTGTATTGACATTTATCTCGTGATTCCCTGGCTACTTACAGTCTCCCCAAATCTATATGCTTTTCATCTCTGCCGGAAAAAAAATTATATTTTCTGCAGCTTTGGGGGTTTTGTTGAATCTACTCTTTCTGATGGTTTAAATTATTTGATAAGATCAATACTATATCAAGGATGAGGGGCCCCTACTGTTAACACTTTCCTAACTCAAGCAGTCTCTATTTATTGCATTTATTTTGTTCCTATCACCAAGACAGTTTTTTGTTTTTTTTTTTTTTTGAATGATGAAGTATTCCTCTCAGTCTTATAGTAACACAGTAAGAGGAGGAAATGATTCACAGTAAAAGATGACTGGGGTTTTTTTTTTCCTCTTTCTTTGTAAAGTGATTCTCCAAAAGCCTCTTTCAAATTACTTCTTCAGTACTTTATACTCATTCCTCCCGGTGGTATTTTTAAAGCTTATATTAGATGATGCTTGACTAGGAATTGGGACCACGAGGAAAATCTGGTTACATTCCCTGGCTTACAGATGAAGCTAAATTAACATGTACTTGTAAAAGGGATTTATACAAGCATTTTCTGGGCCTAAATATAAGAAACTATTTTGAGGGATGTGCAGCTAAACCAAAGAGGAGAATGAATAGAAATTAGCTCAAAAATAAAGGCAAACGCATGGCTACCTCTGTAAGAAAGTGGTAGCATTCATGCTGTTGTAAGAGGGGAAGGACTATTCACAATTACTCAGATTCAGTGTTGAATCATTTGAGTTCCTTGATCCTTGGCTGCACTGACCACTGTGGAATTTTCAAAAGCTTCAGGAATGGTGGGTGTCTTTATTCATGACTATTCCGGCCTAGCTCAACCAGGGATGGCCAAGGCAGACACTGCTTGTGTCTGTGAAGGTGGGTGGTTTGATCATCTTTTATTTTCAATACCAAATTCTGACAGAATTCCTAAATGCTGTGTTAGGCATTGAGGGCATAGGAGGCACTGTGGCTTCCCCATCTCTGATCAGGTGACCTGAGTCCTTGCTAAGGTCAGCAATATCCTTATGGGAAGGAACAGGGCATTTCAATCATCAAAAGACCCCCGAAATGCTACCGTTGTAAGGCTATTTTCAAGTATGTGAGCCATACTTCTGTTCATTAGAAAGCCGGCAAACAAGGCCTCTTGCCTGAGTACTTACACAGTTCTTGACGTTGAGGTCGGCGCCATACGTAATCAGGAGTCGGATCATCTTGTACCGATTCAGCCTCACTGCGTCATGCAAGGGTGTATCTCCTTCCTAGAGAACAGAGTGAACAGGCTCAAGGTGGGCCTGAGGCCAGGAAGTGGGTCCCGAAAGGGTGCCCAGCAGGGGTAGTGATCTCAAATAAATGAGTGAAGCTTTTAGGAGGCCAAACTCTGCCGGCCTACTCACCCGGTCTTTGGCGTTGAGGTCTGCCTCGCAGGCGATGAGATGCTCTGCGCACTCGTAGTGGCCAGTCCTCACCGCAACATGCAGCGCGGTGCTGAGCAACTATGAAATGGAAGAGCCTGTTGGGTCCCTGGGCATGAGGACAGAGCGTGTCCCAGACCCCAACGCATGTGTGAAGGGGAGGAGGGGGACGGGGGTAGGAGAAAATACCTTATCCCGTGCACTGATTTTGGCGCCTTTGTTCAACAACAGTTTTAAGACATCCAGGCTTCCTCCGCGGCTTGCCCAGTGGATGGCTGTGGATTCAAGCTATACAGGGAAGGTAAAAGGACATGACTCAGTGGAAGAAGAACCTGGTCAGAGGAATTAGTTCTTGGTTTCTAAGACCTAGGAATACCAGGTTTGCTAGGGCATCTGTGATGGCATTGGGCTGTCCTGGTCTAGGTTGCCAGTTCTAACTATTGTAATTCAAGTCTCCTGCCAAATGTTTTGGCAAAAAATGTGCGAACGTGAGTGTATGCTCTCCTGTGTATGTATCTGTGTACATGTTTGCATCATTAGGAGGTTCTTAATAAACCTAATCTTTTTTAGAGAGGATAAGAACTAAAATGTACTGAGAATTTCGTGGTGCCCAGATACTTCAGACGCACTGATACTCCCAGCAACATTGTGAAGTGGGCGTTCCTGTGCTCATTTTGCAAATAAGAAAAAGGAGGCTCCAAACTATTCAAATTTTTTGCCCAAGGAAACACAGCTAGTAAGTGGCAGAAGAGTTATTCCAACCCACAGTGTGCCTGGAACGTTTAACCACCTTTGCCAGATAAACTCAAAAGTTCTAGACAAATGTATGGATTTAAAAATTCTGGCAGAAAAGAAGTAGTCCCTTCCAAAAGATATTCGTCTGGATCTGACACCTCTGCCTGTGTCCCAGTCGTCTTTTCCTCGTGGCTTCCTGGTTCTCTGCTGCCATCTGTGCTAGCACACTGTCATCTACCCCCACCGTCGTTGTTTGTGGTCACTGCGCTTAATCATGCTAGAAAGTTTGGTGTATCCCTGGCCCTCCAAATATCATGCTCGTGAATTTTTGGGTCTTTCCACGCAAACTTTATATTTTGTTTCTTTACTTGTTTTTCTGTGTGTGTAACTTCTGGATTCAGTTTTAGCCAAATCCTTTGGACTTTTCCAGTCCCTTTTCCACTCTGCTTGAAAAGTCAAATTGAGCTGTCTTTAAATAAATAAAGCATTTTTCCCCCAGCTCAATCTTCATTTCATAGAATATGCTATATACTGGTCTGCATAGAAATCACAGTGGTTGAATTACTGAGATCTGAATAGCAGCTACCTCCCCATAGATGCAATTCATTTTGTGTGCAGTCTAGCCCCAAATCTCACTGACGGCAATCAGCATCTATCAAATAAGGTGTGCAGCTAGAGAATTCTGAGATGTTGCTGGCAGCCAAGGATCAGGAGAAGGTGGCCTTGTTTGATGGAAGGATGGGAATGCTGAAAAGCAAGTGTTGACTGTATTACTTATCAGTAAGGCTACTGACTTGATAACAACCCAAGTCTTTGATGAGGATATTGAATTCTGTCCAACAGCTCTCACTTCCTTCTTTTCCCAGAAATACTCCTTTTTGGTATGTATGGAAGATACTTTCCACATGACCTAGTCCCATCTCCCAAATTCCCTTTGTATGGAGAAATAAGCTTCTGTCTAGTTCTCTCAGATCAGTTTTCAATACAATTGGCCCCATTTTTCATCATAGGTTTTCTCAAGCTTCACATAGTCTACTTACTTTGGCTCATTTCCAAACAAAGAGATATATTTACCATATCACGGAATTCAATCTGGGCTCCAGCTTCTATTAACTTCTCCACAATTGCCAAATGTCCTTCCAAGCATGCTCTGTGAAGAGCTGTCCGTTTATACTGTCAGAATAGAGATTTAAAAAAGAGTGAGAGGGAGCAATGCATATAAAAATGAGTATAAATCCTTTCTAAGAAATAGGAAGCTGGGGATTCTGATGACCTAGCTGATAGAAACTTGAGTTCTTTTTTATGAGTTAGAAATGTCAAATTTACTAAAATTACCGACTAGAACAATTATTCTGCAACTGAGATTTGCATCTCCTGCAATACATGTTTCTAAGTGATTAGAGGTCTTCATCAAGGCGTGTGGACTTAGATTCAAAACTACCTAAGTGCTGACAGTTCCCTTTCTTGTGTTTTGTACCCTCATGATTTCTGTAGTATTTGCCATGCAGTTCAGGCCATTTCCTTCCTTTGGGACTGCTGTTAGGTTGAATATCAGAAAGTATTCATTTTTCAGATAACGGGAGACATTTTTCTTTCAGCTTCAGAAATGATTCCCCATTTCAGTTCATAGGGGAAAGGAGTCAAAAAAGGATTAGTGATGTCTGATAAATTGGCTTCCAACAATGGTAGCCAAATCCTTTGGACTTTTCCAGTCCCTTTTCCACTCTGCTTGAAAAGTCAAATTGAGCTGTCTTTAAATAAATAAAGCATTTTTCCCCCAGCTCAATCTTTATTTCATAGAATATGCTATATACTGGTCTGCATAGAAATCACAGTGGTTGAATTACTGAGATCTGAATAGCAGCTACCTCCCCATAGATGCAATTCATTTTGTGTGCAGTCTAGCCCCAAATCTCACTGACGGCAATCAGCATCTATCAAATAAGGTGTGCAGCTAGAGAATTCTGAGATGTTGCTGGCAGCCAAGGATCAGGAGAAGGTGGCCTTGTTTGATGGAAGGATGGGAATGCTGAAAAGCAAGTGTTGACTGTATTACTTCTCAGTAAGGCTACTGACTTGATAACAACCCAAGTCTTTGATGAGGATATTGAATTCTGTCCAACAGCTCTCACTTCCTTCTTTTCCCAGAAATACTCCTTTTTGGTATGTATGGAAGATACTTTCCACATGACCTAGTCCCATCTCCCAAATTCCCTTTGTATGGAGAAATAAGCTTCTGTCTAGTTCTCTCAGATCAGTTTTCAATACAATTGGCCCCATTTTTCATCATAGGTTTTCTCAAGCTTCACATAGTCTACTTACTTTGGCTCATTTCCAAACAAAGAGATATATTTACCATATCACGGAATTCAATCTGGGCTCCAGCTTCTATTAACTTCTCCACAATTGCCAAATGTCCTTCCAAGCATGCTCTGTGAAGAGCTGTCCGTTTATACTGTCAGAATAGAGATTTAAAAAAGAGTGAGAGGGAGCAATGCATATAAAAATGAGTATAAATCCTTTCTAAGAAATAGGAAGCTGGGGATTCTGATGACCTAGCTGATAGAAACTTGAGTTCTTTTTTATGAGTTAGAAATGTCAAATTTACTAAAATTACCGACTAGAACAATTATTCTGCAACTGAGATTTGCATCTCCTGCAATACATGTTTCTAAGTGATTAGAGGTCTTCATCAAGGCGTGTGGACTTAGATTCAAAACTACCTAAGTGCTGACAGTTCCCTTTCTTGTGTTTTGTACCCTCATGATTTCTGTAGTATTTGCCATGCAGTTCAGGCCATTTCCTTCCTTTGGGACTGCTGTTAGGTTGAATATCAGAAAGTATTCATTTTTCAGATAACGGGAGACATTTTTCTTTCAGCTTCAGAAATGATTCCCCATTTCAGTTCATAGGGGAAAGGAGTCAAAAAAGGATTAGTGATGTCTGATAAATTGGCTTCCAACAATGGATTAATGGGCTTCCCAGGTGGCTTCCTTGGTAGCTCAGAGGGTAAAGAATCCACCTGCAATGCAAGAGACCCAAGCTTGATCTCTGGGCCAGGAAGATCCGCTGGAGAAGGAAATGACTACCCACTCCAGTATTCTTGTCTGGAAAATCCCATGGACAGATGAACCTGGCGGGCCACAGTCCATGGGGTTGCAAAGAGTCAGACACAACTGAGCGACTAACACTTTCACTTCGGGTGGCTCAGTGGTAAAGATCTGCCTGCCAATGTAGGAAATACAGGAGGCAGCAGATACCATCTCTGCATCGGGAAGGTCCTCTGGAGAAGAAAATGGCAACCCACTACAGTATTTTGCCTGAAAAATCCCATGAACAGAGGAGCCTGGCGGACTACAGTCTGTGCAGTCGCAGAGTCAGAGACTACTGAGCTCACACACAAATGGATTAATAGGCTCTTTGTGCTGGAACACTATTAGGTATTATTTCATTCCAATGCCCCCTCTTTTCAGATGAGGAAACTGAGGTCCAGAAAATGCAGATTGGCTGCTAAGAATCAAATAAGCGAGTACTGATAGAACTGACGCTTGAACTCCGGACTCGAGATTCCCTGTGTAGAGCTGATATATTTGGGTCCGGTCAAAGCTAATGCTAATAATACATTTCTCCAGTCATGAGTGGTTGGTCCTGCCATACTAAAAGTCTATCCCAAAGATCTCAGAATTAAAGACAAACTGAAAAAAGCAGTGGGAAGAATATGAGAGTGCAAAAAAAAAATAATGCAATCCATAGCACTGATCCAGCATTTTCTTTTTCTGGCCCACTGCACTCCCCTGTTATGCTACTGGCATATGTGGCAACAGCTGGGGAGACAGTTTCAGGTGGATTGATTTCTGGCACCAGACTAGCAAGGCTGCAGTAAAGCATAAGAAACACAAAATTAACAAGCTGGATTTTGCAGTGCTTTGTATAAGCCTTACCTCATCACAGACATCTGGATTGTTCTTGTCTGACAAGAATTTTTCTACTACTGGCAGTTTGTTCTCCAGGGCAGCTTTGAGAAACCTAGGCACATCCACAGGTTCTGTCTAAAGTCAAAGAAAACAGTGTGAGAGTTACTATGGGCTTTCCAGCATTCAGTCAGACCCTCCACAGATAGTTATTTCCTTGTAGCCTAAGGCCGAGGGTTTCCCTGGAGGCTCAAACAGTAAAGAATCTGCCTGCAATACAAGAGACCCAGGTTCAATCTCTGGGTTAGGAAGATTCCCCTGAAGAAGGAAATGGCAACCCACTCCAGTATTCTTGCCCAGAGAATTCCATGGACAAAGGAGCCTGACAGGCTACAGTCCATGGGGTCGCAGAGTTGGACATGACTGAGTGACTAACTCCCACCCCCACAACGTAACCAAGCAGCGCTTACCACGATTTCAGGTTCAGGTTCCTTCACAACTGGAACTTTTGTTTTCCTGTATTTTTTCCTTTTCTTCAGTTGAATGATTATTTCAAGATCTTCTAAATTTTCCAGTTTTGATCTTTGTTCTAGTTTTTTCTTCTTGAGCTAAAAAAGAAATCCGTGTTTCAAAATATGGTGAGTTCTACTGACAAGCATTCTGGTTGTGTCAAAACAAAATCTGCAAGGTCTGAGCTCAGTATGTGAGCAGTTTGAGCAAAAAGATTTAAAAAAATATTTATAATAAATCTTTGACTTGGATTTAGTGATATCTTATTCAAGTATTTAGGGGTCAAATTTTTCAGCTAATTGCCTTTATCTTTACTTCCTTTGCTTGTAGCACCAGCTTCTTGTTGAAGATAGAATCTAGTCTCTAAGTGATGATTTTGTAATTATTTCCATAAACAGACCCCAGATTTCTGTAGAATTTTTTTTATCATGCTCATGAATTTTTTTAATTGAAAAGACTTTGCTAATAAGTTTCAAACTCTAAAATTTCAATGCCAGTGTCTTTTAGGTGGCTCACTGAGCAGGGCTCATGAAACAGACTGTCTTGGGACTACATCTGTGGTTAGTAAGTAATGAAAACTCACCCAGCAACACATTTTGTCAACACAGAAAGTTGCCACAGTCAAACAATGATCCACGAACCACAAACCACATTATTGAGAAAAAAAGGCTTCCTTCCTTGGGATTAATTAGACAATATAAGACATCAGAAATTCACTGGACTCTTTTCTTTTCTCTTTCCAAGTCTTTCAGTCAAAACTCAGTCATAGACCATTTGGTGATTGATTCAGAATCCAGAGGTCATAGTCTTCCCAAAGAATTCTTTTCTACAGCCTGTTTCATAGAAGTTGCTTCTTTATAAGTTAGAAATTGATAAAGAAATACCTTTGGAATGGTTGCATTTATTTGGTTTCTCTCTCTTCTCCTTCCTGTCTTGCACCTCTGTCCTCTACACCATCCCCAACCTCCCACTAGTGAATTTCACAGAAGGCCCTTACCTCTGCCTCTCGCTCTTTCTCAGTTTTCCATTGTTGCTCCCCCAGGCTCACAAAGTGGGCGGGAAGTGTTTTCAGGTCTTCCTGCTTCTCTAAAGTGACAGCAGCTTCATATTCTCCGTCTCTGAAGTCCTCAGGAAGGAACTCCCCAGCATCCCCGCTGCCATTCTTCTTCCCTGTAACCTACAAGGAAGAAGGTGGCAGCGTCAGAATAGCAGAGTCCGTCCTGGGGTCCTTTTCCATAAAGGATGCTGCAGGAGGTCCCCCGGCCCTTCCTCCCTGCTGACAGTGGCTTCGGAGCAACGCACTCTCAGAGCTCAGGCTGTGATGCGCTGCCCCAGTGTTCCAGGAATACCTTCAGATGCTTGTTCTCTTGTATTGGTTAAATCAAGGTTTAGGTTAGGTTGATGTTTAAATCTTCTTTTAATCCACTTAATCACATTTCTCCTAAGAAAATCCCAACCTCTTCCCCACATCCCCACCAACAGTTTTAAAATTCTATCATTTTCAGTACTTTGGATGTTCCCTTGCCTTCCTATAGTTTCCAGATATATATTGTTGCAATAGAACTTCTTCCCTAAGGCATTTTGATTACTGTACATGATTCCACACTTTAGTGATAAAACCAAAGGAGAAGATAATAAATAGGGAATATGTAGAAAATTCATTACTGCCAGCTCCTTTTTTTCCAATTTTACTTATTTCATCACATAAATCAACCGTTTTCCATATATGACATTTTCAGAATACCTGTGCATTATGCCTGAAAGAAAAGAGCATTTCAATTTTCAAATAAAAATCAAGGCTGCACCATTTTTCACTGCATAAAAATAATGTGCTTTACATACCAGCTCTTCTACCTTCAGAACCATCATGTTGACCCGAAGTTTGTCAGTCTGTTTTCCTCCTGAGGAATAAATCCTTGAGTTGCCCTGGGGAGCCCATCTGCTCCAGTGAGCTTATATAGCTAGAGCTGGGTGAGATAATCTTCCAACCTGGGAACCCAAGTAACACCCCTGCACCCCCCACCCCACCCCCGCCCACGGGGCCAACTCAGAGGCAGGTGAATTTTTCATTTCAGACTCAGTGTCTGGGAAGCAGGAGAGGGAGGGGATGACAAGTAACCCCGCTGAATATGTGAATCAGGAAGAAATGTGAGAGGGCCATTCCTTTGGCAGTGACCACACCGCTCAGCAATGCAAGTCATCCTATTTATCGGGGAGCCAGAGGACAGCTGTCTGTTGACATTGCGCCACACCGCTGCTCCTTTTCCTTCTTTGTCAGCTTTCATATGACTTACCCTATCAAGAAAATGTAAATGGCCTGCGTATCACACCGCCAGTAATATCTCTCTGATAACCAGACTTATCAACACGTCACTTGGGGGAAGTGTTGCTTTAGGACATCCTATTCCCATGGGTAAACAGCCCGAGAGGAAAGGACCCAGGTCCTAATGTCCCTTGTCTATATCTGTTTGGAATCCTCTGGAGTGATGTCGAGGGCTAAAAAGGCCCCATGACATGCCACCTTACCATCATTATAAGAAATTGAAAGCATTCAGTAATACACTTTTGTTTTATGGTGTCACAGGCCATAATTAGCACATGATATGCTTACTGTCCTCTAAAACAGCATACTTACTGGAACAATTTTTATTCAGAAAAGTTTCCAAATGTCCTGAGATAGATTGTATGAGGCCAATTGTTAGTGACAGTATGACCTTGATCAGGTCATTGAGCCACGGATCTCAGTTGCTGTGGAGAAAAGACACCTGCAGGAGCTGGTGAAAACTGCAGGTCCCTGGGCCCCACTCCAGGGCATTCTGTGTCAATTTATGGCTGAGTCCTAGGAGTCTGTGTTTTTCAAAGCACTCAGGTGATTCTGATGAAGGTTTGAGACAGGTTGCCAGAGGAACAAAGAGCTTTGTTTGGGTTGGAGTGAAAAAAGACCTCTGTTCCTGGTTTCTCATCTCTGAAGTGTTAAATTATGTAAAAATAGTTACATCTCTTCACGGTCCAAGGAGAAACTAGAATTACTCTCTCCAAAGCCATTTAAAAACTGGTTTTTTTTTTCCTCTCTTTTTTTTTTTTTCAGTAAAAGAAAGGAGGGGAGGGTGAGAGAAAGGGAGTGTGAATGGAGAAGCGTGTTCATTAGATGTTATGTTGACCTTCTGTGTCTATCACTCCCTCAAACGTGCCCACTCAGCACACTGGTTGCCAATCTCTTCTTTCCCCTGATCAGCCTGGGGGTGGTTTTGCTGAAATTTTCAGAATGACACATTGACACCCCCCACCTGCCTCTTTGTGCTAACAAAGAGGGATCCTCCCAATTACTCGGGTATCTGTTCTAGTCTCCTAATGGTCTATCCTAAAAGGGGTTTTACTAAAATGAAATTTCCCAGTGTTTTCTTTGAGGTGGAGACAGCTATGACCATTTTCATTGGTTTCTTTAAATAAGAAGTAGCCATTAAACATTTCCTACCGTTTCTTATCTTAGTCTCTTTGTTCCAGGCCTGACCCAAACTGAGGGGACCCTTAGGAGATCTCCTTGAGGGAAGGGTCATGGGTTGTTGAAGCGTCTTGGATATTGAATCCCAGAGCTGTTAATGCCCTCAAAGTTCAGGCAAGGCCAGTGCTTTCATTATACAGAGAGGGCATGGAGGCACAGAAATGTGTCAAGTCACTGGCTTCAGACACACAGCTGGTTAGTGGATGCTAGGTTGAAGAGTTTGGATTCCATCCATCAGAATCAGAGAATCATTGAGGCCAGAGCACATTTCCCAGGGTAGTTCAGACCTAGACCCTCTCAGGGCCCAACCAAGACCTATTAAAACGTCCTTCCGTATTCAGGGCACCTCAAAAAAAAAAAAAAAAGCAAGTGAAAGTGGGTGGGATAGTACACCAAGCCTCTGGTCATTTAATTTCTTCCTCTGATCATTTAATTATCCCCTCAAACCTGGCTGGTTCTATGCAGGAGAGTCCAATAGGTCTAAAGAAAACTGCAGAGGATGACGCTTGAGAAAGGCTTGATGGGATGGGCAGAACTTAGAGGAAGGAGCCTGCCGGCCAGTTCCCTAGGTATCATCAGGTGAGTAAACTCTGCCTGCCTCTCCACTTGCCACTTCTGGTGTTGATCCCATTGGTCATTGTAAAACATGAGAGGATTTTGCTTTTCAAAAGAAATTCTAGATACATTTAGGTCCCTAACAACAGATCAGATGCAATTGTATTTTCAAATCATTCCTATTCAAGACTGAGAAACAAACTTCTCAACTGGAGGAGAGTTTTCTGTTACTTGCTTTTAAGGAGCTTCCTTTCCATAAAATTTCCCCTAGTAGAGTAAGTTCAAAATTTGTACATTTGACTTGATCACAACCTCAAACTAGGCATAACCTTTCCTTATCAAGACGAATTAAGACAAATTGGTTCTAGAATGATTTAGCAACCCCGTGTCAACACCTATGGCCAGAATGAGCAGGGAAATGGTCCCTGAGATTGGCCAGAGTCATCTCAAGAGCCTTTTCTCCTTCCTCTCAGGATTTGTGCATTTCAATGAGACCAGAATTGTAATCGTATTTACAGATAAGGAAAGTGAGGGGCAGGGAAGTGGAGTCTAGAGCGTTTATTATTGTCACCCAGGGTTTGAGAGACGTGCCCGGGCACCACCAGGGTTCATGTGCCATAGCTCAGCTCCAAGGACAATTTTGTCTTTCCAAATTTTAGGACATTATATACTTATCTACTCTACAGACTTTTTATTTTTACTGTTTTCTTGACTGTGTAAGTAACTTATAAATATGTTGTTAAAAATTAAAATAATGCAGAGAGAAGTTTGCTTAATTGCAATCTTGCTGAGTGCTGATTTGGTACTTGATATGTTTCTTTTGATCATGTGTCTTAAAGATTATCTTCTACCAGCACGGATGAGTCTGTCTTATTCTCTTCAACCACCACATGGATTTCTGTGTGTGGACATACCCTTGCTTATTTAACCACTCTCCTATTTATGGACATTTAGGCTGTTTTCCAAAATGGTCTCTCTTGTTTGCTACAATCCAAGGTATTTTATAGCACATAAAACACAAAGTGAGTTGGAACACCCACCTTGAATAAAGAAGAAGGACTCTGAGGACTGTCGCCAGACTCTGACTGGAAGCCACCTTGTTCTGCTATTGCACTCGTAACTGCTCATTTTGCCATCCCTCCTAACTGGCTTCCCAGTCCCAGCTGCTCCTCGCCTCTCTTGGCTCTGAGAAATGGCTGACTCGGCCCAGCTAGGAATCCAAGTATCCCTCCAGCCAAGCCTAGGTTCAGTTACACACTCAAAAATACCAGAGGGAGGTCACAGAATTGAAGCAAACAAGGTTCAAGGTTCCTTCCCTCCCCTGCCAACCAGGGATGAAATCACCTGTATTTGAAAAGCCACACGTACTGGGAACATTTTGAGCAGGATTGAGGCATCTGCCTTCCTCTTCTCTCAAAGGATGGACTCAAGACCAAGGTCCTCCTGTATTCAGGGCTCTGAATAAAAATTGCATGCACACTGCTGTAAGCAACCCAGTTTCAAGCTGCCTATTTGCAAATATCAGCAGTTTCCTTTGGTAGAGGTGGGTTAAGGCTGTAGGTCTCTTCCCCATACCTTACAGCAGCAGGTGCCTTGCTGTAAATTATGTCTCTAGCCAAATTCTGCCCCGCTTATGGATTTGTGTCAGTCAACAGGTATACACAGCCACACGACTGTTCTGCAAACTCTCTGAAAGTGGCCCCTACCCATTTATACTCTAAGACAGTGCCTGGCAAATGAAGTCATTCTAGCAGTAGACTTTAGCTAACTTGCTAGCCTAATCAGATGACAGAACCTTCCATGTATTATCCAAGACAAGATCTGACCAATTCCTAGTACTGAATATATAGGTCTAGGACTCCACAGAGCATACATAGCAAAGTGCTTGACACATATTGAAGCTAAGTAGTTAGCTAACACCTGGAAGCAGTATTATAGTCTTTCCTAGCCAAACCACATATCTCAAATCTCCTTTCAATGACAAATAATTAGGAACATTTTAATGCTAAATAACAAATAATCTTCTAATACTAATTAGGGGTAAAGATAAAGTGCTTAGGTAATCTCCTCTGGAGTGTGAGCATCTTATTATTATTTTTCAAATGTTGACCAACCATGACAAGTGTAATTTCCCAGTTAGGGCATATCACAAGTGCCCTTTCCTAGGATGGTGGTTCCAAGGCCGGGCGCATCTTAGAATCATCTGAAAATCTTTTAAAAGATGGTGATGCCCTGGTCTCAACCCAGGTGAATGAAATCTGAATATAAACTTTAGTATCCAGATATTGTCTTGAAAAAGAAAAACAACCAACAAACAAAACTTTTCCAGTTGATTCTAATTTCCACCCAGCATTGAGATTACCACTCCAGGGTACATATTTAAATGAATACATACATAGTTATATACAAGTATATCCTTGAAGATGGAGGCAGTAAAGCCATCTTTATCCCAGTGTCAGAATTCTGATCGTGAAAGATTTCACCTTTACTAAGACTGTGGGAAACACACACACATAAAACTTACCATCAATATTTATTTGGCCTTACTGTGTGTCAGGCATTTTTTTAGAGCTAGAAATATACCAATGCTTTCAAGAGTCAAACTCTCCTGCCCTTGGGGAGTTTTCAGCTTTACTGTTTTCTAAGGAAAACTGCAGGCAACATAGTATGCTGCTTCTGCCACAAAGCCAAGGAGGGCAGCCTTTGTATATATAAATGCATAAAGTTGTGAAAGATGAAGGATGTGGGGTGAGGAATTAGGGAACCTGGCTTTTATTCTGGGCTCTGCCCTGGGACTAGTTGAGCAAATCCCCTTTTTCAGCTTTACTGTTTTCTAAGGAAAACTGCAGGCAACATAGTATGCTGCTTCTGCCACAAAGCCAAGGAGGGCAGCCTTTGTATATATAAATGTATAAAGTTGTGAAAGATGAAGGATGTGGGGTGAGGAATTAGGGAACCTGGCTTTTATTCTGGGCTCTGCCCTGGGACTAGTTGAGCAAATCCCCTCAACTCCTCGAATTACCAAAGGAGAGCTTTGAACAAAATGATTTTGGGGCCTCTAAAGTATTATTATTGAGATCTCAAAATCCCTGAATTAATAGATAGAAATAAACAGCCCCTGTGAC